TTTCGGTCACCCTCCAGTTGCTTCTGAAAGTGCTGAGGACTGCCAAGACATTGTCTGCACACAAGGAGCATTTTTGCATCTCATTAATAGCTCTCAGGAGAATATTGTGACGTTCATGTGTTTCAGCTTTGGATTTGGCTTTGGAATTAGTGACCTAGATTTTGCTGTTTGTATCTCAAGTCACACCATGCCGTCTCTGGTCAGCCTTCAGAGGCAGCCATTGCCCTGGTAGTTGCTTCCATTAAACACAGACTTCAATAACAGGGTAAATCTGAAGGTCATGGAATAAATCAGCAGTCATAGAGCCATGTTGTTGTGTCATGTTAGGAGCAGAGAAAAATTCAGAGTTTTGTGCTAAAAGGCCATGAAGCCCTACATGTTGAATTTCCTGTATGTTTTGTATGTTTTCAAAGTGCATCCAAACTAACTGTGAAAACTGCTCAGTTTCTACACAGCAGAGAGTATTATCTGCCTGGAACAAGCATTATGTGCTTGGAAAGGGGGATTCAGTTGAAGGCTGCATTGACACTGGTTGCAAAATGGAGTGTATAATTTTGTGTCCGTGCCCTAGCAAGTTCCTGTATCAATTCATGTACTGGTACAGATTTGTTTTGTCATAAAGAAAGTGAATAGAGATAAATTTTATCACCTTTCTTATTAAAGAAGGGTGTGCCTATTGCAAATACAAAGTTTTCTCTTTGTCCCTGCATATAAGGTTATCAAAAGCAAAAAAATGCTGAGAAAGACCTTCCAGGGATGAATAGCCTACATTGCAGGTTATGTAGCCAGTGGACTGAAGTGTCCTAATTCAAATTTTAAAAGACTTTTTCATTATCATTCATTTGTATGGAAAAAAAATACATTAAAACAGAAGGCAGTGTAGTTAACACGTTTCATAGCTATTTGTGCTGTGTTTTGCTTTTCCTCTGATGAAACAACATCTCCCATTTCCCAGGTTAACTTGTCTTTGAAACTTCAAATGTGGTAGTAATTAAAGAGAACTTAATTGTCGTTTCATGTAGCTTCCAGATCTCTTGTGCCATCTCTCCTTAAATTGTTCCCATTTGTTTCCCCTGCAAATATGAGCCTATAGTGTTGGATCATGGACAGCTGTTTCTGGCATCCTGACCACTCATCCATCAGTTTTGTTGCCCATAAAAGCGTTCTGCATCTTTGGACGCCGAGTTCCTATTTAATGGCAACTTAGAGACTGCTAGCTGCTTAAAAGAAGGAAAAGGAGGGTGATAATTTTCCATGTCCCACATAAAACCGATTACACAACGCTGCTAACACCAACAAATGGCAAGTGGTATATAGAGTGGGGATGGAAGGTCATGTAAAGAAGGCTTATTTCTGGTAGATTTTTGTGGGGTAGCAGTTAGGTCCATGGCACTGAGACCCAGTGGTGCTGCCCTTGCTTTGTCCTGTGTGCAGGGAGCAGGGAGCAGGCACAGGTTGAGTGCAAAAACAAATGCAGTGCCTTGATGCTTCCGTGACTGCGTGTGAAACTGTGAAAGAAGAGATGTCATCAATAGCAATATTACATGATGCAGCATGCAAAATAAACTGATGATGAGCATGGCAGAGCATGCATTGCAGCTGGCCTTGTTATTTTTGCCTGAGTTATAGGTATTTGTCACTGCGAGTCATTTCAGGGCCGTAAGTAGCCTTTGAAATGAAGCTGACACAGTTGCCACCTACCTGATAAGGCTTGTGTTGAAAATGAGAGAGCTCTGATCATGCTGCTGGGTAAACTTATTAGAGGGGAGCAACCACTGCAGTTGTGCAGCAGCAAAGAGGTGGGCATTGCACAGACGTGCTCCCTCTGCACTGTGCAGATAGGAGAAAGATTTGCCCGTGGCCCAAGTATTTCCCCATGCTGTTTTATAGATGTAACTGCTAAAGAATACTCATTTTTTTTCTTAAGGAAAATCAATTGTCATCGTGGTTATAAATTGTAAAGAAATCACTTTAAAGACTGCCACTTTTTTGTTTTTTTTTATAGGAGTATGCAGTAGATTAATATACATGGCATTCTATTGTCATTAATTAAAGAGATTCTTGTCTGACTTTTTGAGTCAATGAAGAAATTTACAGCTGGAATCAATAGGCCAAGTACAATGGACTACAAATGTGTTTATTTTTTATAAGCATAATTGTGCGTATGGGCAGTCAATATTTAATCATCCCATTGGATTAATTTCTCAGGAAATCCATGTGTTCGGGTCTCGTTGCTCACATCATGTTGGCTGATTTTGCAACAGGAGATAGGGAATAAATGCGCTTTCACTGACAGCTCAGAGGAGATGGTTTCAGCCTGCTGTGATAAAATGCTGTCACACTTCTACTTTTTTCCCTTTCTGTGATGTCAGGGAAAGGCGTTTTGCTTTTCTGTTAGTGTTAGGGAACAAGGATTCCAGGTATTCAAAGGTAATGGAGAGAAGTGAAGAGTCCCTGTGAAGCCCACTGTTCTCCGGATTGACTGAATGTGGGTATGCTCTGCTGAATTAATTACAGGTTGGTAATAAATGCTCTTTCCACCAAACCCTGGTTCTCCCTAAATTTAAAGCTCCAGACACACACATTGGCACAAGGGCTGAAGCTTTACGGTGACATTTTCTTCTGCGTTCTCCCTTTGAAGCATGAATCCTGAATTTGGAGATGCTCAAAGCCAGGCTGGCTGGGACCCTGGATAGACAATCTGTGTTTCCCTAGCTGGTTGCATAGCTCTCCAGTTCCATATTGATAGGTCCTTAGTGTCTCAAAGGAAAAGGAGCTCTGCTTCATGTTGGTACTAGCTGCTCACATTGGCAAGCTGATGAGCTCCACGCTCATTTTCAGCAGTGTTGGATGTTAATATTTCATGACTGCCCAGCCCTGGGCACCACTGCTCTTTGCCTTGGGACTTGGGAAGGGGCTGCAGCCCTCCTGGCAGCTCCCTCTGCCCAGAGAAGGGCAGGCTGTGAGTTGAGCATTGTGGTGTACCAGTATACTTCATCTGTTCAGCAGCTGAGCTGAAAAATCAGGCATGGGGAAGTTTCATGCCAAACCCATAGAGACAGTTTTGAGATGTTTGTGGATTGTTTTTTTATGGTTTCCATGGTAAAAATAAGAATTAGAACAGAGCTGGTGTTGATTGCAAAGCTAAAAAATGTGTGTTGCTTCCTGTGGAGAAACACCAATATCCAGGACTAGCTTCAGGTGCATAATACCAAAATGAAAAATGAAACAGTATTTCTTTCAGAATGAGTGAAATATTGTAGTTGCTTCATCTGCTTTTGTTGGTCATTGAAGAAAAGGGTGATAATCCAAAGCAGCAGCTGAATGTGAGGACGCTCATGACTACTTACAGTAATCAAAACTGTAAACGTGCATGATTAACTATGAAAAGCATTTGCTGAAGTAAGTGTTCCAGTTTTTCTTTATCTGAAGGCTGGGTGCAATGGGAGCATGTTTTTAGTAGTTCTCCACAAGGACCCAGAAATACCTTTGTGCAACAGCTGGCCAGCTTGAGGCAGCTGCAAGAAGGCAGCGTGAGCTCATGCAACCTGTAGCACAATGTTCCTAGTGCAGTATTCACAAATGCAATTGGCAGCCAACCTGCTGGCATGAAAACTAAATGCTGTGGGAAAACCACTGAGCACATAAACAGGAGGGGGAATGGCTGTTTATGAGGGTGGACAGTGATAGGAAAAGGGGGAATGGTTTTAAAGTGAGATAGGGGAGGTTTAGGTTGGATATGAGGAGGAAGTTTTTCAGCCAGAGGGTGGTGAGGCACCGGCACAGGTTGCCCAAGGAGGCTGTGGATGCCCCATCCCTGCAGGCATTCAAGGCCAGGCTGGATGTGGCTCTGGGCAGCCTGGGCTGCTGGTTGGTGACCTGCACACAGCAGGGGGTTGGAACTTGGTGAGCATTGTGCTCCTTTGTAACCCAGGCCATTCTAGGATTCCGTGATTTAGTGCAGTATTTTATTGATTTCAGTGGATGACTTTTTATTTGGCATCAGCAAATTGAAGTTCTAGAATAAAACATTCTCTGCTTTCAATAACCATGAAGCTCTGCATGGAATAACTGAGAATTTCGGTGCACTCACAACTCTGGTGTGCTTAGTGGAACATCTCATTTTAGTAGTACTGCACCTGTACTGTTATGTTGGGAAGCATGGTAAATATTTAATGATTTTTCCTTTGTTTCCTGGAGATAGAGTCTTTAATAAGCCCAAGTACCTACAAGTAATATTGCAATGCCAAGTCACTGTGCTGCCCAAAATATATATAATTTCTGTTAGTCCATAAGCAATCAGACTTTGTAGGGACAGTGTGGCACTCTCTACTCATGATGCCTCCTTCTTAATTGGATTTTTTTTTATTTTCTTGGTAAAGCATATATATAACAGAAACTATAGATTTGGATGTTGAAAACACTGCAGTCTATAAAGCACTAAAATCTACGCTTTGTTGTTTTGTTTTGTTTTTTTCTCTTAACAAAACATCCTCTTGTTTGCTCCTATTGACTTTCATTGTTCCCTGAAATCCATCCATCTTGGAAACTACAAGGACTGCTGTTAATTGTACACTAAGGCCATTAAGAGCCAGCCTGTTTCTTTCTCACTCATCAACAGAAGTGCTTGGAGACCAAACTGCATCTCAGTTCTCCAGTATGCTCTCATTAGCTCCAAATGACATCCTAAATGACAGCTGTGAAACCTCATTGCCTGCAAGAGGGAGAGGTTGGGCACCTGTAGGGAGGAAAATAATGGAGGGAAGAAGGCTGCTGGATGTGGGGAGCCAATTTACCTGGGTTGTTAGATATGAGGGGATAGCATGGGCTCTAAGACAGGATGGTCAGCCTCCAGGAGGTGATAAAATGAACTGAAATCAAACTTTTTTTAAGGGAACTCATGGCCCAACACAGGTTTGTATCTGTTCCCCTTCACTCCTGAGGTGCAGACAGTATCTGCCCCAAAAGCTCTGACGTTTGCATTCTTCTTTTTCTTTTAGGCTGGACAGCAGCGTTGGTGGGAACAAGAAATTACAGTGAATGGAAACATTCAAAAGGGAGAATTAATTACCTACAATCTAACTGAGCTGATCAAGCCAGAGGCGTACGAAGTCCGTCTGACACCCATCACCAGATTTGGAGAAGGAGACTCCACTATTCGGGTCATCAAGTATAGTGGTAAGACCTTCAAGTACAAAGAAATGCGTTGTGGCACCTTCTGCACAATTGGGTCTGCTGTATGGGTTACAGTTGTGTTATGTTGCATGATGTGAACTGACTGCCAGTCCAGCAGTGAGCTGCCCAGACCCCAAACCAGAGCAGTTTCTGTGTTATAAGGGTAAAAATACAGTGAATTAATGTTATCTGCATGAATTAATCTTCCTAAATCAGTGTTATCTTTGTTTCCAAGAGTTAATTCTTACCTTGAATTCTTGTTTTGTGAAGTTTTCTTCAAAACTCGCTGCCCTCCCAAGTAATATTATGGAGGTGTTAAATCAATATTTTGTTGTCATCATTTTTTTTTGTCAGAATCAGGATGCTTTGAGAAGTTTCTGTTTTATTATGAGTGATCAAAATAACCCTGACTATTCCTAATCCTATGCAAGTGAGAAAGAATGATTCTATATATTCCTCCAAAAGTTTGCCGTGACAAGGATTTGTCCACTTGACCAGAAAAGAGAAAGTATTTCTACAACCTTCCATTCAGTCTCACAGCATTACCAAAAATTAATCCCTAGAGCTCTGAAAAGAACTCAAAATACCTTCCTGAGGGTATTAATGTAAAGAATAACAGAGTTAACTTTTTTTATTTCTTCTTTGCTGCAGTGTAGTGGTGTTTGTGCTCTGGCAGGTCTCAGGAAGCTGACTCAGTTCTCAGCTGTGGTTCACAACCACACCAAGCTTGAGCCATTAATGAAACATCATATAATTTGCATTTCTTGCCCCAAGTTGCCCCAAGCTGCCAAGGAAAACATTCCTGTGCAACATTAAAAGATATATTTGGACTACAGCAAATTTCTTCCGCTAGAATCTGCCATTAGCACAGAGGTGAATGACATCCCATTTCAAACATGCCGATTGGACACCAAGCGTAATCCAGCTGCCCAGGAGAGATGGAGCCACCGTTTTGTGCCCCAGGTGGAAGGATGCTCCTGCAGGGGTGCTCAGTGCCATCACTCAGGTGTCAACAAACACAGTTTAAGAAATGGTGAGCCAGGTGCTAATCAATAGGGTAAACCCAGAGTGACTTCTCTTTGAAGTGGGGTTCCAGAATCGCTGAGGTTTTGTGTGCTTCAGATACACATTTTATCTCAACATTTGTCCAAGCGCTGTAGTGTCAGCTAGCTATTACCAGGCTAATTTTAAGTGTGTTATAACTCCAGCTAAAAAATAATGATACTGCATACGTTATTATGGTGCAAATCTAATAGTTATAATCTGAAATGCTAGAATCTTAGAAAAGCAGCTAATGGGCTAGCAGCATGCACAGCAGCAGACCAGAATTGAAGTAGAAGTAATAACAAACATTATCCAGAAAATAAGACATCGTGCGAATGTTTCTTAAATGGAGAAGATAATTTTTAATAGATTTCTCCCCATTACATTTGTTGAGACCTTAAGCACACTCACACACACACAAATAGCCCATCCACAGTTGGGTCTTCACATTTTGAATATAGTTTCATCCTGTATGTGTGTGCAGTTTTGATCGATACCCTGCAGGCACACTGGACTTCAGCCACATCACTCCACACTTCTCACCCCACGGCTTCAGAAATACTTTTTGGGGGACTTACAACAGTTGAATACCTTGCAGTATCACTGGGTTGTTGAGATTGGAGGTGCTGCTGGAGGTCATCTCATCCAAGCTACTCAGAACAGGCTGCCCAGGGCCACATGCAGTTGGGTCCTAACTGTCTCCAAGGATGGAGACTCCACCACCTCTCTGGGCACCCTGTCCCAGTGTTTGCCACCTTTATTAGTGAAGATGAGCTTTTTTCTCTGTAACTCTCTCTATAACTGTCTGAAGAGAGGTTGTAGTGAGCTGGGGGTCGGCCTCTTCTCTCATGTAACTGGTGATAGGACTAGAGGGAATGGCTTCAAGCTGCGCCAGGGGAGATTTAAGCTGGATGTTAGGAAATACTGCTTTTCAGAAAGAGTGGTCAGGTACTGGAATGGGCTGCCCAGGGAGGTGGTGGACTCACCGACCCTGGAGGTGTTCAAGGAACGTTTGGATTTTGTGTTGAGGGACGTGGTTTAGTGAGAGCTATTGGTGATGGGTGGATGGTTGGACTGGATGGACTTGTAGGTCTTTTCCAACCTTGGTGATTCTGTGATTCTGATGTTTAAAATTTGTGCTTTTGTTTGTATTGCTGGTAAGGATTCCCACTGAAAACGTGTTTTTCCATATTGTAAGCAGATTAAAAAGATTTCACCCCATTTTAAAGAAATGCAGCCAGCATGAAAAGCAGATCAGATGCACAATAAGAGTTGCTAAAAATGGAGCAGTGTCTTTTGCCTTTAGTGAATACATTCCCCTTGACCCTTGAGCTTCAGCTTGGTGCAAGTAGGGAACAGACAGACCATGGCCTATAGGAGTTATTTTGACAGCTTAAAGTTGTCATTTGTATCATGACAACCTCGGGTTGGTGCTGCCCAAAAATGATTCTTCAGAGCTAGTCTTAAAGTGTGTGAGAATCAACTTGACATTCCTAGCACATGGGTTGTGTTTGCTGCCTTTCCAGAGAGGAGGAGGTTTCTCCACATTTCTCTCAGTGGATGGCTCTGAGACCCTTCAGAAATGCCCATATCTCTGTGTGACTTTAGGGGCACTCTTAGATGAGGTGTCTGATTTACCAGTCATTGAAGTTAGGTCACGTTACTCCTGCCTGTGCAGTCATTTTTGTTGAGTTGTGCTGCAGAGCACATTGCATTTTAAATTAAAATCCGCAACTGGAGTTTAATGGGAAAAGTGCTCATATGTAAATAATAGCTTCCAGTGGGCTAGCCTGCTGGTAGCCATCTGAATGTCCAAAATGACAAGGCTACTACAATACTGTCAAAGCAGGAGAAGCCTTATTTATGAGCTCTTTACAGTATGCCCTGCCATCCCAAGCTGGAGCCGTGCATGCAAGACAAAACCTTATTGCTATCCAAGCCCACAGATCAAAACCTCACACATGGTGGAAGCATTTCATAGGGAAATTCCTTGCCTGCCATGAGTTATTTTCTCCTCCACGCACAGAAGGAGTGGGAGAAAAGGACAGTCATCACAGTAGAGTGACATTGTAATTACAGCCAAACATCACTTGACAAATTCTTTGGTAGGTGCATATGTTACTCTGCTAGTGATCACAGTCTGGCAAGTAAATACTAACAGGGCAGTTTAAGTAGCACTAATAAGTGTTTTGAAGGCTGGTACAAAACAGATAAGTCTTTTAGTAACAGGTTCAATGTAATCTCCATCACTTTACATAAATCTGTGTCAGCCTCCGTGATGCAAACAAGCAATAACATCCTCCAGCTATTCCAATTAGCACTATTTCAGATATGGACTTATGGTTAAATATTTCTTACCAGTGGTAAACAAGCAAGTTAATTTCATTTTTGTGAATGAAGCCCAAACCCTAGCATTGTATCTATTGTATGTAGAATCAGCCCTCTGTGACATGGCAGGTAGATGAGGCTGCCAATCACTTAATGGCCCTGCCTGTGGATTCTTATACAGGTTAGGAACTTCCCAGATCCTGTATGGAATCACACACAGAATCACAGAATCACCCGGGTTGGAAGGGACCCCAAGGATCATGTAGTTCCAACCCCCCTGCCTAGCAGGGCCACCAAACATACACATTTAGATCAGGTTGCCCAGGACCCCGTCCAACCTGGCCTTGAACACGTCCAAGGACGGGGCATCCACAACCTCCCTGGGCAGCCCGTTCCAGGGCCTGACCACTCTCCTAGTAAAGAACTTCCCCCTAACATCCAACCTAAATCTTCCCTCCTTCAACTTGGATCCATATGTATGGAAGAAGTGTATGTAATTGTTCCATTTGTTATTACTACTATTATATTTCTGGGCCCCACAAGAAAAAAAAAGATATCAAATAAAGCATAAATTATAGGATTTATAAGTATACACAGATGTAAGTATGAGGCTGTTTTATAAGTAGTATGCAGAGTTACCATTATGGGAACAAGAAAGCCTTGCATAGAGAATCAATATCTACAATGAAGACTGCTTTCCACTATGCAAACCAAGTGCTTTTAAAGGTTTGGACTCCTGATCCCTCATTAAGGCTTTTAGATTCTGGTTGTAATTACTGTAAGTAGACAGCAGTTTCCAGTAGTGGAAAACAGAGCAGCTGAATACCCAGCATACTTACCTCTAGATTGATGTTTCTCAGTCAGTTTGCAGCTTTGGGGAGCAATGTCTCAGTGCCTGTACAAGTTCCTGAACAAGTGTCTGTATCGGGGAGGATCTCTGGGAGACATCACTGTATAAATGCAGTTACAAGGGCAGGGACTGACAACAAACATTCTGCCCACATTTTTCTGCCATCACCTGCACATATACAGATCACTGAAAAGTGAAGTTGTCCAACAAGCTGAAATTCCAGTGGGCTTTACTCCCTGCATGCTGGAGAAAAGGCAGAGAGATTAAGGGATGATCCGCCTCAGCTCTACCTGAGCTCACATCCTTCCTGATGCTTGGTTCTCCTCCTGAGATTCCCTAGCATTAAGCCAGGCCAGCAGAGCAGAGCAGCGAGAACCCTCATAGGCACAAAGCCTTTCCAGATGTTCCCAGCTCAGCCTTAGGAGTTGCTCCACCAGTCATCCATTGGTTTATCTTCATGGCTAATTGAATGAGCTGCCCTCACATTGTGCACACAGCAGCCTCATCTTTCAGCAGTGAGACCTGGAGCTGTCACACTTCATCACATGGCAGCTTAGTGCACCACTTAGGAGAGTGAGCTTTCTGGGTTGCTTTATTTTCAATTTTATTTTATTTTTCTCGTTTATTTTGTTAGATAAGTACAGCCTAACTTCTTCAACTTGCTTTTCTGATTTTGTCCATCAGTTTGAACCACTTGGCAAGAAGCCTTTTTTGCTTTGCTGTGTGAACAATCTGAGTAGCATGACTCAAGGTTATGCACTGATGATAGTTTCCATAAAAGCCTGCACGTTTAGTTACAAAGCAAGCATCACTAAACGTAGTTTCCAGCAATTTCAGCTAATTCCAAGTTCAGTCACTCAGGAAGCTCGCAGAATGAATGTTTCTTGGAGAAAGGTAATTTGTTGGTAAAAGCTATGAGGTTGTCTCATATAATGTAATGACTAAGTTTCTTAAAATTGCACAGGGGCAAGTCACTGTTCATTTGTTTCAGCAAAGAAAGATCAGATGGCAGAGTCACTAAATTAGACCTGTTTTAAAAACTTCAGGTCGAGGTTAGAGCTAAGTAGAAACTGAGGCTGAGGTCAGAAACCAGGAGTTCATGTCTCTGAACATAGCTTGGGAACGGCAGCGAGACATGGAGCAACACTTAGATGGAAATCAGGGGTTACCAGACGGACACAGCATCTGCATACAGTTCTAATGGTGGGCTCAGCATCCTTCTGTTTCTCACATGCGTAAGGGCTCTGTTTCCTAAGTCTCCCATGCTCACATATACCCTTCTACAAATAGCACAGAAATGAAGACTTTCGTTTCTCCCTCAGACCAAATTTCCAATGTTTAGCATTGTTCAGGTCAGTCTGGGTGTAAACTTGGGTAACCCATCCCATGGCTAAGATATCTGTAAGCATGACTAAGGTTTGACTTTCATCCTGTTCCATCCTCTGGCTGATAGGTGAACCTCAGTATTAAAGAATTAGGGATTTAGAGCTTTTTGTGATTTTGCTGAGGTTCTGTTAAACAAGAACCTGTGCCAAGGATGCCCAGCACCAGTCATCATGCTCAGTCACAAAGGGTGTTGCACAGACACAGAGAAGAGACAGAAATAATATTTTTCAGCAAAGTAATCTCAAAACCTCTTTGCAGTGGTGGAAATTTGGTTTTGATGCCTCCCAAGAGGAGGAGTGGTCATCAACTGTCCCTGCCATGGGGCAGGGAATGAGCAGAGGTGGATGCATAGGGGAGGGCAGAACTGCTTTGTCGCTTCTCCATCTCCAGGGACACAGCCCTGGAAAGCAGCATCCAATGGACATGGGTGCTGCAGTGCTGGCAGCCCTGGGGAGAGCACACCTCACCTTTCTTTGTCTTCTATAATGTCTTTAAAATGTTTCCCCCTAGAAGAGGATTTATGCAGCAGGCTTGCAGATGTTGTTGGTTTTTAGGGTTTTTTTTGCTTGGTTGTGTCTCTTGGCCTAATGGGATCAAACCTCTTCTCTCCAACTCACTGTGCTTTTGTTTCCTGCTGCTTAAAAAGAAAAATTGTGGTTTCTGGGAAGAATGCAAGTGCTATCCATTCACAAACTGAAGAATAATAGAAGAATAGTTTGTTACATTAAATATCCATGAACACTGATAAGACCAACAATTGAGTAAAGCATAATGCAGAACCTGTGCTTCAGATGAATACATCCTTCCTGTGTCTTTTGTTGGATTCCTGCATGAAGGCATCACCCTGAAGTTTTGCTGTGCAGCTGTCCTCTTCTGTACAGGGTCTGTGCCAATAATCTAGCTTTGGTGCTTAATTACAGCATCTCATTCCCCAGGCTGCATGTGGTAATGATGGAGCACGTGTAATGAGTGGAAGAGGCTTTTCTCATGGAAGCCATTGCCTTTGGCTTGTCAGGAAGCTGCAAAACTTGCTCAGAAAGGACAGCATCAGTTTTGATGACTGTGTTAATGTGGGACCCATAATCAGGGTCCTCAGGAAGGGGAAGAATGATCAGTGGGCAATTTAGGATCATCTGTGTGTTGGTTTCATTAAGTTTTTCCTTTAGTGCTAATTTTATTTTTGCTCTCTCTTTCAGCTCCAGTAAATCCACACCTACGTAAGTATTTCTTTATCTTTTATTCACATGAAGAGCTGTCCTTGCACCTGTTGTCCTTTGTGCTTAAAAAGTAACTGACAGTTATTCCACTTTCAGTCGCCATGCCCCTTAGTTTTGTGTGCAAGCTGAGCCTGATGGTGTCATTCCTCTTGTTCTGCAAAGTGCCAGAGCAACAGGTGATGGAGGAAGGACGTATTGTAGCTCCAGCCCATCTTTGTTGTTGGGGTAGTATGGTCAGGTTGTGGTTGGACTTGATCTTTAAGGTCTTTTCCAACCTGAGCAATTCTATGATTCTGTGACTGAGAAGGATCTGTGTCTGAGCCTTAGCAGACAATGTAAACATCCCAGAGGAAAAGTTCATTTAGAACATTTTCCAAAGTAATTTCTCCTTGCGTGAGAACTACATGTGCATCTCTTGAAGTACATCTACACGAGCATGGATTGTGCCAGGTGACTTCCAGAGGTCCCTTCCTACCTTACCCTTCTGCGATTGTCATTTTGTGATTCCATGATTCTGAATGAGTTACTGCAATCCTTCCAGCTGCAGTCAGCACCTCATAGAATCATAGAGTTGCTCTGACTGTGTCCTGCCTGATGTGTGGTGCTCAGTAGCACATGAACAGTAGCACCTGGTACAACTGTTTCCCATTCAAATCACCCACGGGCACCAAACCTTTGCCAGTACAGCAGACAGGAGACTGGGCTGGAGCTAGGAAAAACAGCTTCATTCTAACGCTAACATCCTACTTCATCCCCCATTTGTCTACTTCATGATTGATTTCCACTCAGTAGCAAGGGCATATTTTGTGGGACATACTCTGTTGTTATTCTTGCTTTTAATCACATATGCAGAAATGCTCCTGTAAATGGAGTGGGGCTCTTCCATTATTGCTGCCCTGGTGCAGCCATAGGCAGGCAGAGAAGCAGCAGCAGGCTGTGCAAGCAGCCTCTGTCTGTCTCTCAGACGATGGCCAAACTTTTCAGTAAGTTTTAAACTTATTTGCTGAAGGTCTTGTGAGATGCATTAATAATTAATCAGGGCTCAGTTTAAAGCTCGTGGGAGCTGAAGGATCCAATCTCATTGACTTAAGTGAGCAGTAGATGAGGCCCTTGCTAATTAATGTATTAAACATATACTCTCTGATGTTAAGAAAAAAAAAAGCATTGCACTCCCATGTGCTTCCCACTATAATCTTCTATGATTTTAAGATCTGAAATTGTCTCATTTTCAGAATGTCTCTATTGTACAGTTCAAAGCAGCAGCTCTGCCAGGCACGTGGCTCAGTGCAGGTGGCACCCAAATCACCCTTCAGGTCAAAACCCTGCTGGCTCCAGGGAGGGAGACTTCTGGCAACCTGCCCACCATTTCCATCCTCTGCTTCTGACTCTGTCTAGCTGTGCACCTCTGCTAATGGGAGAGTTTGCCCACTGGGAGCTATAGGGCACCCGGTGACATTTCTTTCAGACGACCAAAGAGGTGGTTAAATCTTGAAGGCTTGCTTTTTTCCCCAGTGACTTCTTGAGTGAAACCTTTTGAGGAGAGAAATCTGCTGGGAAAGAGAAGCTCTGGCTCCCACAGCAAATTCAATCTCATCTTTATCCTAGCTTTCTACAATCTCATTTTATGTCACTGAAAATGCAGGATGAATGGTGATGTTGTATGTTATGTAACACCAACCAGCTTCTGATTCTTTCTAAACCTGTTGGGCTGAATTCTAACTTTATTTACACCACCGTGAATGAAGAGTAAGTGCCCTATTCAACTGGGGAAAATATCTGGAAACTGAAGGCACACCTTCCTGCTCAAATTCTGGAATAATCACATGGCAGAGAACATTCATTCTCATGAGATTTCTGCAGTAGATAAGGAAGTAGCATCAAATGACTGGAAGACTGAGATTTTGCCTTAGAGCTACTTTTGTGTGTGTGTGTGTGTGTTTGACATATAAATAAGCTGTTTAATGGAACCAGTTTATAGTAGACCAAACTACTGTATACTGTAGACCAGTACCTAAAGGGCGCCTATAAACAGGAGGCAAGCCAACTCTTTGAAAGGGTAGATAACAGCAGGACAAGGGGAAATGGTTTTGAGTTGAAGGAGGGAAGATCGAGGTTGGATGTCTCACACTATGAGAGGTTAGGTGGTGGAACAGCTGCCCAGAGAGGCTGTGATGCCCCGTCCATCCCTGGAGGTGTTCAAGGCTAGGTTGGATGGGGCCCTGGGCAGCCTGGGCTGCTGTGAAATGCAGAGGTTGGTGGCCCTGGATTGGTGGGGGGTTGGAGCTTCGTGATCCTTAAGTTCCCTTCCAACTGAAGCCATTCTGTGATTCTGTGATTTTGTGATTCTGTGATTCTATGAACATTTAAGAATTTCATATCGGTGAGTGCAATTGGATGTTACACTTAAATAATGGAAGACATGAGATGTGAAGAAGTCATTCAACTTGAGTTTTGTGGAAAAAGAATTCATATTAGAATGAAAAGCCTTGCACTTTGAGTGCATATTTTCCCGTGATTGGCAATAAATTTATTTAATAACTTGCATTAAAGGTTTGGACCAACAATTCACCTCTGCCCTTAATGATGTTTGGGACCATTTTTGGTATCCACAGCTCCGTCAGTTCACAGAATCACAGAATTGTAGGGGTTAGAAGGGACCTCCAGAGATCATCGAGTCCAACCCCCCTGCCAAAGCAGGTTCCCTACAGTAGGTCGCACAAGTAGGCATCCAGTTCTCAGTCCCCATCTCCAGACCTTGCCTGTCTGCAGGGATGGGGCACCACCACCCCTCTGGGCAGTCTGTGCAGTGCCTCACGGCCCTTAGAGTGAAAAACTCCTTATTTCCAGTCTTACTCTCCCCTCTTTTAGTTTGAAGCCATTTCCCCTTGTCCTGACAGAAGAGACACTGCTGAAGAGCTTGTCTCCTCCTAGAGACAGTCTCCAATTCCTGCACAGGGGAAGTATAGAGGTAATCCCAGGGAACTACTTCCCATTTGTATTCATCTGTTATTTTTCACAAGGTGTTTAGTGCCAAGAATATTTAGCACTAACCTTTTCCAGTGCATTCCAAATGGCAGGGTTCCACGTGAAACTGGTATTTTCATATTAGATAAATGGCAAACTTTTACTTGCCTTTCTTCATCTAGCCTGAATGCATTAATTTGTTTCACTTGAAGAAAAGGCTGATGTGGGTTTTGTTCTGCTGATGTGGTGGAATTTCTTTACGAAGCTCTGAGGGCACACTGTGACACGGAAATGCAGCTTTTAAGCAACTGGAGGGGCAGTGGTAGGAACTGCTGAATAGCTGGGAATGCTTTGTCTTAAATCACTTTGCTGCAAGACTGGATCTGATAGGCAGAATTTTACTCCTTTCGCCACTGTTTGGCCTTTTCATTTTGTCTCACTGTGTAGAAGCAGCACCTTGCGTGCTATAGGAAAGGTGTGTATAAGTGGAGGCCCAATGTAGTGTCAGCCAAGCAATGCACGTCAGAGTGCTTCCTTGGTGTCGTTGCTCATTCAAGACTTTTGTTAGGGTCTTTGTGTTCTCCTCCTGCTCTTGGGGATAACGATGAAGGTGTTGGTCTGCACCCATTCTCCCTGGAAGGACTTTGGATGGAGTTCACAGCCCAGGTGTTCTTTCATGTGCCCATCTCTCGAGCAGAACTGCTGTCAGGCCAGTGTTTGTATTTCTCCTCCGTCGTGCTTATGGAGGTGCTCCTGTGCCGAATGGTTTTGCGCATCCCCTCTTCATCATTCCAAGTTCAGCATTCAAAAAGCACTACCTCCAGAATCAAACTGAAGTCCTGAAGTGGGCTCCTCATTGCCTTGATGCCTTTCAGCCGCGTTTCTGAGTTAATTCTCCTGGAGGATCTAATAAAGGCAGTAAATTGATCAAGAAATCAAGCCTGAGGTGCTCGTGGGCATGGAGGCTTCTGTGGACTGGGTTTTTGTGGCAACCTGGTGTTTGGAGCAATGCTTCGTGCTGACTGCTATGCAGCAGGAAGTTTTGTTGCTCAGCATGAGCAGAGGCAGAGTGAGGAAGGCTTGAAAAGCACTCCTAATGCACCTGGTGGATTGGGAGGAATTGTCAAGCCTGTTTTTTCAGTTTGCAGCATTATATGATTTTAAATAAGCTTCAGAGCAGCATCCTTGCTTAGCAGTACATATCCAAGCTAAGCTCCAGGTTCTTCTGTCTTTACTGATTTGCAGTGAAGCTCCAGTGGCTGAAGTGGATTTATAGTTTACTGAAGCCCCAAACCTGCAAACATTTATACACCTTCTGAATTTAACACAGATGAATGGTGCCTGGTGTTAGAGTTTCTCCTAACAATGAATATAAATTGCACCCCTATAACGAATGCTGTAGCTTACACAGTATGCAGACAGCTGCATTCTCCCAGGAGAAGAGAGATTTGCTTGTTTTCTCAGATAGATCAATTGACTTTGCTGGAAGAGTAAACTCAGCAGGAACTGCTCGTGTGTATAAAATTAAGCTTTTGCACATTTTACTACACGAGGCCTCATTCTGTTCTGAGATGAAAACTGAACCTTGAAGTTCTGGTTTGTTTGGTTCCTAAATGCCTGATTATAGGACTTCCCCAACCCATCGTAACCCGGAGGTGGGATCATTGGGATGGTGTCTGACAGACCTGCTTCACAAAAGAGAGGATCCCAATAATCGTGATTGGGGATCATCATGTCTACTCTAAATAATATTTCCTCTTATTCTAGCCATTCTTTGTTTTCCCAATCCTATTGACAACTAAGAGGAATTTAACAGACACCACACTGCAGACCACATTTTCCTGTTGAAGAGGTGCTGTACGCTTCTCCTAAATGTTCTTATCCCTAAACCAAATAACCTACTGCTTCCTGTTTTTCCCACACCGTTCATGTTTTATAAACAATGCTATCCATTCTTCTCAGCTCTTTAGAAATCGTAGGTGGGTCAGTAGAGACAGTGTCTCTAAGGGCTGTTACTTATAGGTGAATAGGTGAGGAGGATCTAGGCAAGATTGAAGATAATTAATTTCAAGTAGCATTAACACAGGATGATGATGGTGCCTTTTTTCATCAGGGTCACTTAAAAGAGAACACACAGTCAACAGTAGAGAATGATGTAAAATAAATGTATATCTATTTCCAGTGCTGCTAATGAGCACCAACCTACAGTGTGTTTGAAAACAGTTTGGATGTGGTGCTCAGGGACATGATTTAGCCGAGGCTTGTTAGTTAGGGTTGTTTGGTTAGGTTGGACTTGATGATCTTTAAGGTCTTCTCCAACCTGAGCAATTCTGTGATTCTGATTCTAATACATCTATTCTCATGGACAGGTAAGCAAGCATTGAGTGCTATCAGGCACTAAATCTCCTCTCATTTGCTGTGTTGGCAGGAGAGTTCCACTGTGGGTTTGAGGATGGTAACATTTGCCTTTTCACTCAAGACGATACGGACAACTTTGACTGGACAAAGCAAAGCACTGCCACTAGAGACACAAAATACACTCCCAACACAGGGCCAAACGCAGACCGGACTGGCTCCAAGGAAGGTAAGCTCCAGGGTGCGCCTGTTCCTCCTGCGCTGGGTGCTCTGCAGCTGCTCTGGGGTCGGGGATCTCCATCCAGCTGCGTCCTTCCAAATCACACCAAGATAAGCATGCCTCAGGGACCTCAGAAGGAAACTGCCTGAGCTGAGACATGCGGCCAGTCCCTATCAGAGCCCGCTAACAGCACCGTTAACCACCTTGTATTATTGCTATTGCGCCATTTCCAACCGATAACTTCCACGTTACAGCAAACATTCTAGCACGTCTTGAACTGTTGTTCTGTTTTATGTCATTTAAATTCTAACTTGGACTCTCAGACTATCACAGTGAGGTCTTTTTGCCCCGTTTTTACTTTGGGTGTTGCTAAAACATGTAATTTTCAATCTGCTACTCCTGTTAACAGAAGTGTGCCGTCTTGACTGCGGTATTTATTTTCATTTGAAAAGTCAGACATATTGTGCTGAATTTATCAAGTACTGCAGTAACTTGAGCTATTTTATTGTGTGCCCCATGCCCTCTATTACCAAGAGGGAAAAAATCATACTGCATCATATTTGCTTGGTTGGATTAAGTAAATACGCCGTTGTTTGTGCACTTCAGAATAAATGAATATTTTCTTCTTGTGAGCCGTTGAACTGGGATTGACATGGGCAGTTTAAAATGTTCATTGGAAGCTTTCCATCAAGATTTTTTTTTTTACCTTATTTTAAAAATTCTCCCCTCTCATTGTTTATAGGAACAAATTGCAACCTTCATTCTGAAGTCTGAACCCCATCATAAAGATTTTTTTCTTTTCTTCAGCATATACAATGTTATATCAATATGAAGTTGTTTATGAGTACTGACCTGCAAGCCCTGATTTTACTCCTGCTAGAAAACATCTTTGAATCAGCTGCGGAAAATATATGGACTCAGTGCACAACAAATACGACCCTGAAACCGTGGTGTTCTCAGATGAACGTGAAGAATTAACCAAGATAGCTCGATATCTTCCTGTGTGTGTACTGTGTTGGTGTTTTAAGACCACAACATAACAATTTTCACTTGTCCTTCCTAGGTTTCTACATGTATATTGAGACGTCACGCCCCAGGCTGGAAGGGGAGAAGGCCCGACTCGTCAGTCCTGTTTTCAGCGTTGCTCCAAAAAATCCCTATGGAGCTACGAACACAGCCTACTGTTTTAGCTTCTACTATCACATGTATGGACAGCACATAGGTAGGAGAGAGCCGAGGACCTTGTCTTTTCATTTTGGGAGAGATAGCAGGAGAAATGTCCAGATTTATGGAAGGGAAACACAGGATCACTTCCAAAACCAGCTACAACCAAGGCTGGCAAGAGAGGCACCTGAAAGCATTCTTTTGGTCATAAAACTTTTCCCCACAATCAGTATGCCAGCAGGAATCCTCTAAGGGTTGACAAGAGCATGTTGTGTACACATGGGGTTTTGAGCAGGGGCTCTTGAAGGTGTGAAGATTTGCAAAGGCTTTGCCTGTTTTTGAGTGTTTTTTGCCTGGTCACGGTGTGTTGAATCTCTCCTTGCAAGTTAAGAGATGAAGCAATTAGCAGCACAGCCCTTGTGCTATGCAGCAGCACATGGGTCCTAAAGGAAAGCCTTGAACAATTCACTCAAAAGCTGTGGGAGCAGATCTCTCCAAGGTGAATCTTTAGGTCTATTTTTAGTCATAGCTCTTTCAAGATACAGGTTTAATTACTTTGCACGGTGTTAAAGAAAAAAAGAAGAAGAAAAAAAAAAAGTGTGGGAAAATGTAAAAGTATAAGCCTGAGCCAATTTTTCTAAATCCTGTAAATCCCTGTGGGTTCTTGGTGCTTACCAGTGCGTTGGGAGGCTTTCCAGTGCCACGCTGCCCTGACTCGGTGTATTTTATAGATATTTTCAAGGGCAAGAACATCCTCGTAGTGCATTCTGGTGGTTGCTTTGGGAAACATTCAGCTGCCTGCAGGCAGAGCTTGGGTTATAAATAGAGCAGACAGCTCGCTTCGTTCTGTTAGCTGTCTGCACTGCTGAGCACTCAACGCAGCCCCTGGTGTAAATTCTGCTCACTCCGCGTTGCAGGAGGAACTGGAGCCATGCCATGCTGAGTGAAAGAAGTGCAGAGTGCTCCTAGAGCCTGCTTCTGCTATAGGACAGTGAAGAGCAGAGTTATGACCATGAAGGGTCGAAGAGTTCTTCTGGAACTTCTTAAAGTTAGGATAAATATAAGAAAAACAGCCATTGAGGTTGACATCTGCCCACGAAAAAGTGACCCCTAACTTTTGCAGTTTTGGTCTTTCTCCTGGGCTGCCCTTCTGCCCTTCTCTATTTTGGCTGAAATTGCTCTTTTCTGTGTCATTTCTTGAGCTGACACATAGAGTGCTGCCTGACAAAGGAGCTGACCCACAGATGAAGGTGGTGACAGTGACAGTTAGTGATCGGGTGTACAGCTGTACAGGTTTGGTTCTTTATGGTGATGCGGACACTTGGATGTCAAAAAACAAAATCCCTCAATGTCACTTCTCTAATGTTAAAAAATATAGATGACATCATTTTAGCTACTGTGGTCCTGTGGTGTAGTTTTGAAAGCAGAGAGGCTGTGATGCCCCGTCCATCCCTGGAGGTGTTCAAGGCCAGGCTGGATGGGGCCCTGGGCAGCCTGGGCTGCTGTGAAATATGGAGGTTGGTGGCCCTGCCTGTGGTGGGGGGTTGGAGCTTCGTGATCCTTGAGGTCCCTTCCAACCCAAGCCATTCTATGATTCTGTGAACAATTTTATACAAAATTGTTCTGTCTCCAAAGACAGAAAGATGATAAATTAATAGTGTCAGCCATGTGTTTGAATGCAGGCACCATTACTAAATTCAACATTATCATATTCTGACAAAATGTTAGAAAGCACATGAGAACACAGGAAGCATCCAAGAAATGAATTATGAGATCAGCAAATGTATATCATCTGATCCCCCAGGTGTGAACTCCATCACCTGTATTGCTCACATGAGGATAGTAAAAAAGGGAAGAGAAAAACCTCAGGAGTACTGACGTTCTAAGACTTAATGATTTATGCACATGCTTCTGTTAGGAATGGTTGCATTGGTGAGGTCACCATTTGAATGATTTTTGGAAGGTCTGTGGTCTTAGAAATTGCTTCATTTTTAGGAAAGGAGTTACTATATTTATGTAATTATTATATTTAGAGATTGTTATATCTAGGGTTTATTATATTTAGTGGAGGCTTGATAGAGTTGGGGTAGTTTGGTTAGGCTGCAGTTGGACTTCATGATCTTTAAGGTCTTTTCCAAACTGAGCAATTCTAGGATTCTGTGATTCTGTGATTCTATTACAGCACAATGCTTTGCCCAGGCAAGTCAGTCCTAATCAGCATTTTGGATGATGTATGCTCCATAACCTTCATTTAGAAGATATATTTTCAATTGCAGCACATTGTTTAGTTTTTCTTTTCATATCTATGCTTCTGAAAGTTACATAGCTAAAGTTATCTTTATTCTGACAAAAGTTTGGCCTATGGGTGAATCTAATCATATTTTGAACAGCTATTTTAAAGCTCAAATTTCACGCAAGCAGTTTAGTTTTCTGAGCTCACCTTCAGTCTTGTGCTCACCTTCTGACCATGGAAATAATTTCTTCCCAAGGCAGAATGCCAGTGGGCACATATAGAAATGCAAGGAATTCATCAGATTGGTAAGAATTTTCATTTCACAGTGAAGGTGTTCAAACATGGGCACAGGTTGACCAGCAGTGTCTCTGTCCTTGGAGACAACCAAAACCCAATTGGTCACTGTCCTGGGCAACCTAATGCTCTGCAACAAATTCCAGAGGTGCCTCCTACCTCAAAATTCTGTGATTCTCTGTGAATTATTTAATTGATAATTTATTTATTTATTTATTTATTTTGAGAAGATTGCCATTTTGTTAAGGATGAACACCATGTAGATATGTCTAAATCTTATTACTACACCAAATTGACTGTTTCACCATGAACCCTCGACCCTTTGCTGCTGTTCTGGAATTTGCAGCCAGTATATACATAGAAGGTTCCTCTTACCCCTACGCAGGGATAAGCACTGCCCATCAGGGCTTCAGTATGCACTGACAGGGTGGGAGCTGCCAACTGAGACCTCACACATGATCTCTGTGCTGGGGGCTCTCTCTTTCCAACGACCTTCAGCTGCCACTTCTTGACTGGTTCTCCCTGAAAACTGGAGTGTCTTGCAAGAGAATGGGACTTAAACAAGTTCTTCCTGTTCCTCCCTTGTACCTGTGGACCACCATTCAGAGAAGATACAAGGCCGTTAACCCTTGATTTTTTTGTCCATGTTATCATAGCGTTGCTCAGCAGACTTCAGAGCTGCATGTCTGCTTTTCTGTTGGGCTTTATTTTCCCTAATTATCCATAGGATTTCCAAAGAGGCTTTCCAATTAGGCTTATTACTCCCCTGTTTCCAAAACAGTCTCTGTGCACATCAAAACATGTCTGCATTTCCAGCAGAGGCGCGAATGATCCCTAATTTAAAAAAATGGAGGATCATCCTAGATGCTCTGTCACTGGTGCTGGGATGCAGGCGTAGGGGAAAAGAGGCATCATCCACTGTTCTTACACGAATGACCTCGGTGACATCAATTTGAAAACATGGCTGTGGCGCTATGCTGTAAAAAGCAGCCATCCAGTTTATCCTGCCCAGCACCCGTGCCTGCTGCTCAGGTCTTGGTGTCTCTGGAGAAGAGCCTGAAAATGTTGGTAGCGATAAGGAGTGGTGCTTGGGAGCCTTTGCAGAGAGCAGAGCGCAGATCTGAGATTAGCACTGAAGCTGTGGCACGGCTCTGGCGAGATAAGCAGAGGCCTACATCCCATGCCAGGTGGTTCAATTCGGGAGGATGAAGTGTGCTCTGCCTGAAATAGATGGCTCTTGCTCACAAGTTGGAGTTTAATTCCCAGTGGGTCTCACGGCCGGCTCTGAGGCTGCTGGCTGCCAAGGAAAGTGCCCATGCTGTTCTCCACATACTTCAAAGAGAGAAGGTGCATTACCTTCAACAGAAAGGAAATAGAAGATCCCATTACTTGATTTGCAGCAAACAATGAGCTGTTGTTGGGGGATAAGAGAATGAAGAGTCGCTGTCCTTATTATATCTGTGTATTGAGAGAGAATGAGGTTGTAGCTCCATTATAGCTGTCACTGTTTTTTTAAGCCATCAGTGTTTCTGATTTTTCCATCCGCACCTCGATGTGGAGCACTGCTAATTGACTTTGTGAGAACAGCCATTTTTCTGATCATTAGAGCCACTGGGAGCTGCCCAGGTCTTGGCTGCTGAGCTGTGTACCCTGCAGATCCCAGCCCTCTCAGTGGGATGATGCCAAGAAATGAATTTCCGTCATTCTCACCTGCTGCTCCTGGACACAGTTTGGGTCTCTGACTCCCATCTATATGGAGCTCTGAATGACTGTATCTATGGGCAGAGTCTTGCTGGGCACACCTCAGTGAGAATGACACAGCCAACTTGTTCTCCCCACAGCACTTGCAAAGGCAGAGCACTTTTCTAAACCCTTCTTGGAAGAACATATTGCATTTCAAAGCTAGGCACTTGTTGCACATCACATTTTGGACAGGTTTGTGGCCATGAGGGACAGGGACAGAAGAGAAGGCATTGGGGAAAGCTGAGAGCGGCCATTCAGCATCTAATGGGGCTGTAAGAAATAAAGGGACACAGTCTTTAGCATGGGCTTTTGTGACAGGATAACGGTTTCCAACTAAAAGAGGGGAGAGTTAGATTGAAGATAAGAAGTTTTTTGCAATAAGGGCAGTGAAGCACTGGCAGTTCTCCCAGAGAGGCGGTGCTGCCCCATCCCTGCAGTCAGCCAAGGTCAGGGGATGGGCTGTGAGCACTGATGGAGCTGTGGGTGTCCCTGTGCGCTGCAGGGAGTGGGACCTGATGGCTCGTAAGGGTCCCTTCCAACTCAAACCATTTTGTGATCCTATGATCTGGTACAGAAATGGTTATTTTATGTTTGAAGTAAGACTGCGATCACCTGCTATTAATTTCAAGAAATTCCATGACACTGGGAGGCTGGGAGTGATACAACCAACCTTAAATCTCTGTAACCTCAGCAGTGATGGATTTATATGCTTTTCTTACCTAAATTATTTAGTGATTCCACACAGCCCTGCAGCATGCCAGCCTGTGCAAATGGGTGAAATAATTACCAGCTCTCCTTCCCTTCTTTAATATTGGCATTGCTTTTAGTCTTCACGAGAAGTAACTTTCTGTGTAGTGCTGTTACTTCAAGTAGTGCTGTCTGAAGTCCTGCCTCTTCTCCTGCCTTGAACCCAGCACAGTTGTTAAAAACAGAATGGTTTGAATTGGAAGGGGCCCTAAGAGGTTGTGTGGTCCTGCTCCCTGCAACGAACAGGAAAACCCACAGCTCCACCAGGTGCTCAGGTTTTTTGAGGAGAGAATGGGAGAACCAAACATTTCTCTTCTGCACGTGGCAGGATGAGGTGTTTTTGGTGTACCCATAGCAGGCAGAGATGGACTGTCACTGCTACAATCCATTCCTCCTTTGTGCAGCTTGTTCACCTTCCATGAATTTGGAAATAAATGCTGCAAGGAGGGACCAGCAGCACCACCTCCCAGCTCCTTCCCAGGAGATGGGCACCCTGCTGAAGCAGCGTGATGGGAATACTCACCGCTCCGTTCCTCTTTTAGCTCATGCTTTTTAAGGCACTGAGTTTTGCTATTGCTCGAAATAAGAAGTTTTTATTAGCAGGAGCTGAGTCACCCTGCAGCTGCCTCAGATCTGAGAGGTCTCCTTGCAAATGTGATTTGTGCCAGCCTCCCAGATGCCACTCCTGACTCTCTGAGAAACATGGTTTTGTGTGAACCTGGCTGTCTGAGCATTCTTGAAGGCAGATGCAGTGATTCCCATAGCACAGAGACACTGCCCCACATATCTGCAGTCAGAAAGGTGAGCGAGAAGAACAATACCTCCAAACAGTGATTTGCTGAACTCTGCTCAGTGAAGACAGTGCTGCGTCTTGGTGCTCATGGACAGCCTGGTTTTTGCTCACAGCCCATCAGAGAAGGGGGAGCACTGTGCAGAAGGGAGCTGAGTGCTGGGATCTGATACTTGCTGCAAAGAACATTTGTCCTGGAACCAGAACCTTCATGGCCAGTGGTGGGGAGACACCCAGAGTTGAGGTTTGAGGGTTTTTTTTCCTGAGGATTTACTGAGGTTCAAATGAGGACTGTCTTGTCCTTGCAAAATGCTTCTCACCAGGATTAAAGGCATCGCACCTACCTCAGATGCATTTGTATTAGTAAACCATGTCCAGGGTAGAGAAGTTGGATATTTGGGTAAGGTGGCTGGAGATGCCTCCTTTGCACTAATGCACAGAAAACTCCTTAATCCTTTCCCCCCCAAAAGCCGTGTGTACTTTCAGAGCTGCTGGGAGCAAGGGACATGGCTCCCTGCCTCAGGACCCAGCTTGCTGCTGAGCCACCATCCACTGAAAGTTCACTTCACCACGGCACAGTTCTCCCAGGTGTAAAAGTTTTTCAGTATGGAATAAGAAACCCTCATATCCACCTCCACTGTGTTGCAGAGATGTGTTCCAGATGTGCAGCACAGGAGTGCATTGTCCCAGCACTCCCACTGGTCCAGCACCCAGCCCCAGCACAGCCTGGCCAGCTCAGGCCCTTACTCTCCCAGCTTGGTTCTCAGCTCACCAGCTCACCTCCTTACCCTCTCTTCCAGGAAGCTTGAATGTTTACCTGCGACTGAAAGGCCAGACGGCGATAGAGAACCCCTTGTGGTCTTCAAGTGGAAATAAGGGCCAGCACTGGAACCAAGCCCGTGTCAATATCAACCCCCCGACTTCATTCCAGGTGAGGGACGGCGCTGGGCTGCACGTGCTTTGCGGTGCCCGAGCAGCACCAGGCGCTGCAGATGGAGGCATCAGGTCTGGGGCACGCATTCACTGACCCTTGTTTCTGACACAGGATTTCACAGCATCATTTCAGCCCTGAAAGCTGCTTTATGGACAGGTAATTGCTTTCCTTGCTGCAAATAGGTGAGCACTACAGAGCTTAATCATGCACACGTCAGTGGCAGAACAGCAGCTATTTCCTCTGAGAGGAAAAGCCTTTCAGTTCTTAGACAATGCTGTTAGCTGGTATAATATATGTATGTATCTATATAATTTTAGACTACCAACTGGAATATGAAATTATTTCCTATGAAAAAACGCTTAGGGTCCATAGTGTAAAGTCTTTGTTAGATGTCTCAGAGAACACTTGGGTTTTCCATGAAAAAAAAAAGGATCCATCTTTGCAGAGGTGCTGCTCAGAGCTCTGGCAATCTGTTTGCTTCCTTCACCACACATTGTGTCAGGCTTCAGACATTTCAGTTCTGGTTTGACAGTGAGATGCTGATAACTTCTTAGAAGCAGCTCTTGTTTATGCCATGAGCTGTTTCCAAATGGAGCAGGTCCAAAACATCAACTGCTGGTTCCTGGGATTCCTGGGGCCCCCTAAAGAGACCACTTCCTTGGGAAGAGTCATTGAGCATGAACCAAAACGGCCATCCTGAACATCTGGGTTGGGTTCACTGCATGGGTAGATGCCAATCCCAACCTTTTGTCTTATCCCCATGTGTGAGAGCCAGTGATGGAACAGAAGTGCTTTAGCATAGGCAGTCACAGAAGCTTTGTGTGGGAAAAAATGAAAGGAGAATTAGTGGAGAGGGATGTGCAAAGGGCAGCATGATGTGCTTGAGATGAACAGGGAGGGATGGAACTGGGCAAAAAGACTGCAGGGAAGAAGATCAAGGGTGTTGAAATGCACGATTGGGAAGCTGGTCAGGGCTTGAGAGACCCCTCAAAGACCTTCTCGTTCCAACCCCTCTGCCACAGGTAGGGCTGCCAACCTCTAAATCAAGCACCAGATAAGGTGGCCCAGTGCCCCATTTACACCCATCCAACCTGGTCCGTGGGTGATGCTCGTGCCTTCTGTGGTTTGTAAGGGTGTCTTCCACTGCTCTCAGTATTTACTCATTGTTTAGTGAAGGTTATTCATTTCACATGAGAAGCTTTGAACTATAGTGATGAGCAAAGAAATGTTGGAAGCTGCTAGAGTAGGCTTGGACTTGTGTGCTGCTGAAATCAGTGGATAAAGAGAGAGTGCCCCAGACACCTGTCTAACGTAGCAAGCTCATTATGAGGTGTAATTTAAGCATTTTGCTCCAGATGGTGTTAATAATTTTTGTCAAATTGGCTCTACCTCCAAGAGTTAATTTCTCCATTAGTCCCACAGCACGCCCTTATAAGATTCATTGGATGCGATGCAAATATTGTCACAGATTAAAGGTTAGAAACTTTTCATCTAAGCGAGCCAAAAATATTTCAAAGATCTGAGTTGGGGGGAGCAATAAAGGAGAAGAGAGATAGCTGTGCAAATGGTGCTGCTTGGGAGATGTATCCCTTGCATAATTCCTTCATCTCATTAGAAGGGCTTTGAAGTTTGCTAGGGAATATATTTCTTGCTACACAGAATGAGTCCACTCCTCTGCAGAGCTAATTAGGCAGCAGTGAGGCAGGACAGCACCGTGTTGCACTGGGAGAGGAAAACAGATAACTTGGTTTCTTCTGTACAGCAGTAGTGCCCAGCTGATAAGCAGCTTTATAGTAGATAATGGCTACAAGGTGCTCGTGCTGCATTCCGCCCCATAGGAAGTGCTTGCATGGTATTCCAGGCTCCTCAGGAAACTTTACTGCTGTGTGCTTCCCATCTGCAATCCTATGAACTGCTGTTCCTTTTATTTTTTGCAGCTTATATTTGAAGGGATCCGGGGCCCAGGCATCGAAGGAGACATTGCTATTGATGATGTATCAATTGTGGAAGGAGAGTGTATGAAATCCGACCAGCCGGCCAACAGTAAGTGGCTCTTCTATGCACTGGGGAGAGCAAATTGCTTCTTGTGCTGTAAAATTGAGGTATCTGCTGAAATGGGCGTTCTGTGAGAGAACAGAGCATTGTGTGGTTAAGTCAGAGAGGCTGCAGGAGAAGAGTTTTGCTTTCTGGCAAACAGCAGATGCTGGCAGCAGTGGGCTCCCTCAGGGCAGCACCCTTTACAAAACCCAACCCTCCCCAGTGATCCAGGAGGGACAGATGGATGAAGCAACGTGAAAAATTGTTTGGGGAGTCAAAACAGTGTGGAACTTATAGTTAAACTGTCACAGTTGGGCCTCTTTTCATCCCTCTGTCCCCATGTTTGCGTTACGACACAGAGCTTTAATTCTACCTTTTTCCCCCTTTTTGTAGATTTACGATCAGGTGCTGTTGGGACATTAGAGCATATACGACTTATCCCAGTTACCATCCTCATGTTTGTCTTAAGTCATCAGAGGTGACCTTATCCTGGCAGAGGCTACAAAAGATTCACCAGGCACTGGCATGAAGAAAGAGTCTTTGTAAAATGGACATTTAAAAACAAACTACCAAAGATTCCTCCACTGACTGACTCAAAAGTTAAATAAATACATAAATAAATTAAAAAGAAAAAAAAAAGAAAAACAAACAAACAAACAAACAAAAAAAAAACAATTAAAAAGCACTGGGGACATAAAAGGCATCATGGGAGTGTAACTCACTATGAACCACGCGTGAGAACGAGATCTGGCCTAAGTGAGGAAGAGACCTTCAGGTGCTTTTGTGGTCAATAACGAATACAGCATCATCTGGTTGAACTCTCGGAACAGAGCGATAGAAACCCTTGTCAAAGCACAAAGTCATGGCTGGTTTTGTTTCAAATGAATAGTTTGCTTGTTACCATGGAAACCTAATGGCCTGCCAAAAAAAAAAAAAAAAAAGAGGAGAGGAGGGAGAGGAAATAATAAAATTAAAACAGAGAGAGCAACACCTCACTGTAAACAGGGTATGTGAAGAGCTGGCATTCATTTTCCCTTCGAGGAGGTTTTTAGTGTAGAGTTAAAAACATGTAGGCCCTTTTGCCTTTGGCTGTCACCTCCCCTAGAGAGTAACCCCGAATCAGAGCTGTTTGAAGACATTTCTGTTTCATTTCTCACGGCTATGCTCGATAACTGTATGCTGTCTCCTTTTGCATGCATTACGATCCAGGATGTGCCACCTGGGCTTACATATGACACAGGCTTATCGGAGCTTGCTTGCGGCCACTCGAACACCCCTCTCCCCTCCCCAACTGAGTCATCTGTTCTAACGAAGTGAAGAAACCAAACCACCATCTTTTATAAATTGCCATGGAAACCAAGTGCCTTCAATGAAACAAGCCTGATTTAAAAGTATATGTAGAATAATAATAATTTCAACACAGAAGCTTGCACTGCTAACATGTGGTTTGTGCAAACTATTTTCTAAACAAACTACGGAGCCCGGGTGTGCAGACTGCAGGCGAAGGAAGCAAAGTCACTCCTGGAGGTGGATGGACCTGAGCTGCTGCGTAAGCCCTCTCGGACGAGCTATCTGTTGTTTAACCTTCCAGACAGCCATGGCCTTTCAGCTTATTACCCATTAGAAAATAGCTTCCCGTTGGTCCTGGAAATGGGAGCAGCGCTTTTTATTTGTTCCTTTCAGGTGATCAGGTGGGTCAACCAGAGGAAGAGGTGGTGGAGATGTACTTAGGGGTGCAGCGCTGCGCTCTGCAGGCACAGCTGGGCACGGGGCTGCTGCTGCTGCTGCTGCAGGGAAGTCAGAGTTCCACTTGTGCAACAAAACACACGTGGGTTTGGAGCTGCCCCAAAAGCCAGCCGGTTTTCCACTGCATTGTAAATTTCCCTGACAGTTGGTTATGACAATTTGAAGACCTTTTTCCTTAAATTATCTCAGCTTTTAACTTCATTTAAAAAAAGAAAAAGAAAAAAAAAAAAAAAAAAAAAAAGACTTTTGTCTAAAGAGGAGTATTATTATTATAATTATTATTATTATTACTTGTTCTCTCAACACCCTAGGATTAAAAAAAAACCTGATATGCAAGAAATTGGAGTACCAACAAATGAAAACAAACCAACAGCATCGTATTTGCAAACATGAGTATAAAAAGCACAACGAGATGCAGTACAACAATGACAAGGCTTGATTTTTTTTTTTTTTTTTTTTTTTTTTCTTTTTTTTTTTTTCTCCTTTTTTTTTTTTTTTTTTTTTATTCTGTAGAGAAATGTTTGTGCAAATTCAGTAATTCAACTGAAGAGATAATTTTACAGCTATGTTCAATAAAGCCTCTTTCCAGGTAAGGTATGCCACGTGGTGCGTGTGTTTGTTGGGCGCTGTGCACGGGGTGCTGCTGGGCTGATGCAGATGCTGTCTGCAGATGGAGGCACGGCCCATGGAGCTGGCCAAGGATGCTGCTGGTGCTGCTTTGGAGGTGCTTTGTGGTGTCCGATGCCTGGGCTGCAGCAAAAAAAGCTGCTTGGATGACAGCAAGAGCCCAGAGCTTGGATGGACTGTGGGGTTTGGCACCATGAGTGTTTGTTAATAAAAGGAAATTTCCCACTGGAAGCATTGGATTTTAATTGTGGACCAGAGATCCGAGCTGGGTGCGGCAAGATCCTGACCGGTGCTTTGCTTAGGAGGTTGGTGTGCCTCAGGATTTGGGGTCTGTGGAAATGGGACCTTCACAGGCATCTGCCTGAAAGCCAAAGGACCGCAGTGAGTGCGAGGGACCCCGCAGGGCACTGCTGGGGCCACTGTGCTCACAGCCATGGCTCCGGAGCCCTGCCCAGAGGAACAGCAGGCTGCAGCGTGTTCCCTGTTGCATTTCCTATTCCACCCTTGCCCATCATTAGAGCAGGTCTGATGCAGTGGGGAATATAGAAATAGCAGCCAGCTGTCAGTCATTCTGACGTAAGGTGGGAACCATTCCATCCCCTTGAAAATGCTGTCCCTCACATTGATTCTTTCAAAACTGGACTCAACATCCATAGATTCAGACACCCGTTGGTCAGCTCAGGCCAGGATAAGTGACCCCAAAGCAGCCACTGCTGCAGGTTGCTGAACTGGAGGTCGTGCATTTGTGGGGACCACAGGCTAAGACTGAAAGCTGAAATCCCCATTCCCTCCTCATATTTCTCGTCTTCTTTCCTTGCTGGAAGACAGGGATGAATATTCAATGAAAGCTTTGGCCAGAGACCAAAGTTGTCTTTGTCAGGGCAGGATGATGTGAGGAGCAGGTGGTTTTGTGGAAGGGAACTTGCTTGCCCTGCCTGTTTCAGTTCTGTTCTGCTTACATGGGTGCAAAAGCAGTTGCTAAGGTGTTTTCTCTCTTTCAGACATTGATTTAGTATAGCGTTGTCTTCCTTTACGTCCCTAACCTAAGGAACTGAAAAGGCAGTGGGATTTTATCTTGGGCTACAAGCAAATAGATAAAAAATATGCATTTCCCAGTCTGTATATAGATATGTATTTCATTTTGGTGTGAAAATGAATGAAGTATTTGTAAAAAAAATTGGGTGACAACCAGACAGAGAGCTGCTGTTCATTTCTTGGATTACATCTAGTAACATTCCTGACTTGTTTTTAAATGGCTCCTCAATACACAATTGTGCAAAAGTGGACTTAGGGCAGGACAGAAGCTGGTTGCTGGCATCAGCCTGGCTTTTTAGGGAGCCAGCTCAGAACCAGCTGGGTGTTCCCATGGCAGAGGTAAACTGACCCCATGATGAAGTGAATTTTATTCTTCTCAGGATGGTCAGGGAGATCGAGGAGCATTCCCCTTTCGTAGCAAAGGAGTGCTAATTCTTTTTCTTCACAGAGCATGCAGTTTGAATGGGAAATCCCACAAGCAATTGCTGAGGACTCTGATCTCACTGTACAACCAGCCGCTGCTTCCCCAGCCAGCTCCAGCCAGGCAATGGGACACAAGGGTATAAAAGAGCAGAGACCTGAAGGGGGCAAACACATCACAAAACACATTAGAAATGCACCACTAAGATGAAGGCAAGGAGCAGCTCCTGGAGAGCCTGTCAAAGTGCTGATGCCTTGCGTGACAAAAAAGCATTTGCTCGTGGATATTGCAGAGGATAGGTTCTTTACCCTGAGCTTACATTGTATCAGCCACTTTTTGGAAATGATGGTCTTAAGTGTATGCTGCTGTCAGGCCCACGTAAATCCTTGGAAATGTGAAATTTCTTGCCAAACTCAGAAGCTTTGGAAGAGTGCTGACCTCCAGGGATGCCAACGCAGTTCCCTCCCTGACACCGAGTGCTTGAATCTCCACTGCATTCACCAATGTAAATGGCACTGTTTAGTGTGAGCACCTCTCGAGGCAATCAGAGGCCCTAAACTTCAGAACAGAGCTGAGGAGTGACAGCATCAGCTCCTTGTTCAAATTTGGTTTCTTTTTCACTGCCTTCAGGGTCAGTGACATCCCTTGCAGTGAGCCACGTAGTCAGAACGATGGGATTCTCTTCACTCCCATTGGAAGAGGTTCTGCTGCTTCATTTTTGGAGGGTTTACTCACTGGTATTATTTTTTCATGTATCTGAGGATGGTTTAAATGCTCTTCTCACCCAAAAAGAGCTGCTGTCCTTTGGAAGAATTGCTCTATATGGGTGTTTGATAACAAAGGTAGTCCCATATTATAAGCACCTTTGCCTGTATATGCCAGTAAAAAGGTTAGGGGCCATCAGGATTACTTCTTACATTTTCCTATAAAAACCTATGCAAGAAACTCATTATATTTATGATTTTTTTTAATTATTATTGTTATTATTTTGTAAGCAGCTCCACAGGAGCATGCTCTGTCATTTATGGCTGCACGACTATAATGGAAGCATCAGTCCCAGCAGAGAGGAGTTAAACTTGCAGGCACTGCCCATTGCATTCCTTTGTGCCAAGAAACTCCCTGCCCCACAGCTCATGCACTCATTCAGTTGAGGGACATTTGGTCTTTAGAAGTCTGGGGACATCTTCTGCCTGAGCTCTGCCCCCTGCGTCTCCCTGTAATTCCCACAGGAACACATCCCAGCACACATGGACAGGGCTTGGAGCGGGGAAGGACATGTGGGGCACTCCTCATAGGTCTTAAAACCAATTAAAAGGAGGAAGGGGAACGATTCATGTGTGTTTTGCTTTCTGTAAGGCTGCTCGTAAGGCTGTTGCAAAGCCTCGCCAGCGTGGAGGTGTTCACAGCCACTTTGGTGTCACTTGTTCTGTGCCAGCAGTGTTACGTGTCTGGTGTTAAACTCCTCCTGCCTTGGGCTCCCAGACCACTTTCAGATCCCCTTTTGGCTGTTTTTGGACAAGCTACAGCACTAGTTTCTCTCGTTTAGAAAAGATACGTAGTAATAACCAGGAGCTATCATTGACCTGAATACAAGACACTTGGGGTAGTACATCCTATGTGCCGTACTGAAATATGACAGATCACCATTGTATCTGTCAGACTGTGGAGTCTGTATGCTGAGTTTTATATTATGGGAAGGATGCTGTATTTTTTTTTTCCCTGAACGCAACCTCTACAGCCCGTGTAGGTGGCACCCAACTTACATGGGTGTTTCTGGACTGAGGCTTCAGTGGTGACACAAAGGTTTTGCTTTCATGAAATAGCATCTTACACACCCTTATCAGGCTGTGATATAATGGGACTACTCAGGTGAGAGTCAACTGATCGAGTCATCAGAGACAGAAGGATGCATGCGTGGGGGGATACTTTGATCCTCTCAGCCACAAGCATACGAGTTCAGCAGTGAGCTCCTGAGCCTGGGAGCAACCCAAGAGCATTAATCACAAAATCAGTGTTGGGCGCCCGACAAGTGCTGGTGCATCAACAGGAAGGTCGTATTTGTGTTCCTCTATAGATGTGTCCATGCATCCTGGCAGCCATACCTAATGGAGTCTCTCCTAGCTGGCTCTCTGTGACATGGTCAGGTTTACCCCTGTTGAGCACAGCCTTATCAGAGCCAACCGAGGACCTATGACAGGTGAATTGCAGCCTATTTCCTCCCATTTATATTCTCCATAAGTTGTTGTTTTTGTTTTTTGTTTTCGTTGAGAAACAGACTTGAATGTTGGCAGGTGCTTGGACAAATGAATATTAATGCAGCTTTGCTCACGGTTAAGGTCAGAGCCAACAAGTGGAGAAATGCTGCTGCTGATGCTTTGGGACCCAGGATCTTTGCATGCCACAAGCCTTCACCTTCTGCAGGCTGGAGGTTTGCACTCCTCCACCCGTGAGGAAGAAACAGGAACCCCACAACAACCATGACTGTAAAGCATTGGGTGGTTTGTGACAGATATGACCACAAAAGGAATTGAGGAAACACACATTTCTGTGAGTAGGAATTAGCAGCCTCAGCACCTTCTCAGGAAAGATCAGATGCGCTTCTGCTTGCACATTACCAACTGCAAGGGGTTGAAATCTGTGTGTTTGTTTGTGTAAATAGTATATAAATAACTGTAATTGTATGTATTTAATGTATATATAATGATTATTACATTTTAACTATCTCAAGTATTGTATATAGCCAAACTTGGTCTCTTATTTTACTAGAACGCCCACTGTAGATTTATTTTTTGTCATTGTTGTTAATGTATCTGGTTAAATTACAAACTGGTCTTACTTTTACCTCAAAGGATATATGTTCTTTATGTACATTTTATAAAGAAAAAGAAAGAAATCACTCCATACGTTTGGTTACCTCTTCAATTGCCAGCAGTATTTTCTGTCTTTGCCTTTCTGGTTGTGTGCTGCCTTTGCTCCTTCCCCCCAGCCTCACTCCATGGAAGGACGGAGGGCAGGTGGGAGGGACTGGGTTTGGGGGCAGTGCTTTGTGCTCAGTGTGTCCCTGCCTTCCTGAAAGAGGGGTTGTCCCCAACTCATTCCCCCACCCCCTACTTTGCAGTGAAAGGCTTTGAAGAGATCACAAAAAAGACAAACCATCCTCTTCACTACTGGGGCCTTTCTTGCTTGGTGCCAGCAGTCACAAGGTTTTGTCCAGATGTACAGTTGAGTTCATTTCTTTGACTTTCAGTGATATCCATATGCAATCTCTGGGAAACCAAACAAGAGTAACCTGCATGGAGACGTGTGTGGGGGCCATACCAGACCACGCTGCTCAGAGCTGAACCACTGTAGGAGAACTCCTCCCAAAGCTGACCGTGTGGTATAGATGTGGATACAGAGGTATAGATGTGGATGGTGCATGTAAGGACTCCATGACTAGAAGCAATATCCCTGCCTTTGTGTAATTGGGTGGCATGGCACAGCATCCCACCACAGTGCGATGAACCCACACGTGTTGAGCTCATTGGCATTGCAGCACAATTTGGAGGATGCCAGTGTGGACCTCTGCAATCACAGGGCTGATGTCCTGCTTCCGTTCCTTGTTCACCTTTTATAGTGAGGCTGCAGATGAGCACTAGGAGCTATCAAAAGCTTGCAAAGTGCAATTAGACACACTTTTAATCAAGAGTTTTCCAGTGAATTGTAAGGGGAAGAACCAGAAGAGCTATTGAGGAGAGCCTTCACCTACAGTTCCTTCTGCAGCTTTGTTGTGTTGTTTTACATCTCTCCGGCATTGAAAGCCTATTTTTATTGTAGGTGAAATGAATAGGTGAAATTCCTGCGCAACCCACCAAAAGGAAAGCATTCTTTGTTTCTTGTTGCATTATGAAAATGCTGGTATTTCTTTGGCCTTTCCAGGTGCACTGCTTGCCTCCATCATTTCTCTGTCACCTTCGTGACTGCACATGTTCACATTAATCCAGAAGATAAAATGCAGAGTTACCAGACAAGTCTTGCTCTCCAGTGGCCTCCACCACATGTGGTGACAGCAACAGTGATGATCACAGAGTCAAAAGAGGCCACGCTGGTCTCTTACTGTTCATCCTACAGGTCTCACTCTCCCACAGGACCTCATGGCCTGGAATTCTTCTACATGCCCTCATCCAGTCTCAGGATATTCTTGCTGTCCATGTTCCACTTGGTTCCACTTGGATGTATTTGCAGGGGTTAACGTACTCCTGCACTGGATGTAGCCCTTTCACAATCCCCATTATTTGCTCCAGAACACAGTACTTCTCTCACATTCCTTAGCCATGAAGTGAAAATTAATCATAACTGACTGAGGCTTAAATAGCCCCCAGCACCCCATAATTGCCATCATGGGCCCAGCTGCACACTCAGCATGGGGCTTCCCAGGGCAAGCCCTATTCCCTGCTGGATGGAACACAAATGAACACTGATGTAGAGCTAATGCAGGAGAGATTGACCACTTGAAAGAAAAGAAAGCATTTGATTTGATTAAATAAAAAATAAAAATCAAGAGCTCTTTTTAATTAAAGAGACTTATTTAACAGGATAACTGTCTGAAAGTGCAGTCTGACATTTTCTCTTTGATTCAGAGTAGGGAACAGCTGGGACATCTCCCCTTCGTCTGGTGGGCAGTGTGAGTCCCTGGGTATTTGCATGATATGGGTATAATGAGGCCACCTGATAGGAGCTCTGGATGAGGAGCTGACATTGCTGCTACCAGGAGCAGCACCATTATAGTAGCGATGCTCTATGGGGCAGGGGAGCCATCAGGGGGCAAGGCAGCTGCTGTCTGCGTTAGGTTTGACTCTGGACTACAAACCCTTTATCACTTGACAAAATGAAGGAAAATAGGAAGGGGCTGTGATTTTTACCTGCCACTGAGCCATAGAATTATACAGTCATTCAGGCTGGAAAAGACCTCCAAGATCCCCAAGCCCAACCCCACCATGCCCACTGCCCACGTCCTTCAGTGCCACATCTCCACAGTTCTGGGACATCTCCAGGGACATCCATAGGCAGCTGTGCCACTGCCTCATCTAGTGGCCAGCAATCTCGCCCAAAGCAGGAGGATTGGAGATGGAGGATCTCTGAGATGCCTTCCAACCCAAGCCATTCAGTGAACGTGTCAGGGTCTGAGTGTTAGTTCTCATGATGCTGATCCATCACGATGGAAACAATCCATCAGAAGGCTGCAGTCTTTCATGATATCTTTGGTACATCAGTAGGGGGAAGATTTGCTAATGCCTCCTGTCAATGGAGACCTGACCTGGAAAGCATGGAAACCAATGGCTGGGTTCACGTGTGCACGAATAATGGATCAGCTCACACCAGTCTGAGGAAATTCAGACCAGTTGGGGGGAGTTGGACCTAGAAGACCTTCAGAGGTGCCTTCCAACTCACAAACAATTCTATGACTCCATGACTTTATGAGGTCAGCTTTACCCATACAAAACAAATAGAGATGTGCCTAGTTTAGGATACATGGATTCAGTGTCTATCTAAAAGGTGGTCCATGTTCCTGCTCAGGCTCACAGGGCTTAAGACAAGAAAGAAAAGGGGAGAACATGAAGAAACAGTTTATTAACTTGCAGTGGCTCTTTCCTATTTAAACTAATAAGAGCAATTGATCCTACAATCTTAGTATTCATCAGGAAATTAAGATGTTATTGGAGAAGAACAAAGACACCGTTGTCTGACTGAGCACACAGGTTGCTGCCATAGCTGAATGGTGTACTCTACAACAGAGAAGCTTGTTGCTATATTTCACAGGAGATCCAGCAGCTCCCGAGCTCCTACGGGGTCAGCACTGCCTCTGGCTGCTGTGAAAATCAAATGTTTTCTGTGCTTTGTCCTGCATTGGTGCTGTCAGTGTCTGAGAAGAGCCTGGCGACTTTTTGTGTTTGGTTTTCTGAGTGGAACTGCTGTTGCTGTCACCTATTTGTTATAGTTAGTTTTGTTATAGTTATTTGTTATAGTTTATTTGTTATAGTTTTTCTGCTGGAGACACAGAGGGAAAAAAAGAAAAGAAAAATGGAAAAGAGAATATATTCCAGAAGTTCTTATATTTGTTCTTTTTTTTTTTTTTCCCTAAGTTACAAGAAGTAGATTAAATTTATTTTCAGTGTAAGAGGAAAAGTGCACAGCAGCAGTGGGACTGGCTTTCTTGCTTCCTTCATGAGAGTTCTTGGGAAGCAAACCAGAGCTTGCAAAAATCTCTGCCTACTGCTCTTTTACACCGTCCCAGAAACATGGATGCTGCTGGACCACCTTCAGCACCTTCCCACAGCATGGGCCCACAGCAGCTGGATATGGCAGGGGCTGACATCTGCAACCATTGCCATCCACCCACACAGCCTTCGTGGGGAAGAGGGGAAGGAGGAGAGCCTGCCTTGCCCCGAGCATGCTCCCAACACACCAGGACTGTGATGGCAATCAATCCTTGTGCCTTGAGGCTTCAGGCAATTGCCTGCAGGTGCCAGGAAGGAATTCACCTCTAGGCAGAGCTGCTCACACTTGTTCAAGTGATGTTTTCTTGCTTTTACTCAAGGTAGTAGAGACTCATGACAACTGGAGATAGGATTAGGAGGAAGTTTTTCAGCCAGAGGGTGGTGAGGCACTGGCACAGGTTGCCCAAGGAGGCTGTGGATGCCCCATCCCTGCAGGCATTCAAGGCCAGGCTGGATGTGGCTCTGGGCAGCCTGGGCTGCTGGTTGGTGACCTGCACACAGCAGGGGGTTGGAGCTGGATGAGCACTGTGCTCCTTTGCAACCCAGGCCATTCTATGATTCTATAGCCAAAAGGGTGACTGTACATCCTGCTGGAGGTTGGCTGGTTCTTGCTTGCATGCACATGAGAAGCTGGTACAGCTGCAGCTCATGCCAGAGGTTTTGACCGGGTGGAACTAATAGAGATTCTTTCAGCATCTCCTGCCTTCCTTCTTCGTCCATCCCATTCCCTGCCCAGGCGTCTATGGCATGTCAGTCTCCTGTGGCACAGAATGACCTGCCCTCTGCTAAAGAATGAAAGATTTCCATTTATTCACTGCCAGGAGAGTGAATGTCGGGGCTTTTGATGCAGCTTAATGGTCTGTGGCATTCAGGTTACGATCCAGGTGATCTAAGAATTTAATCAGCACTTAAAAGCATATGAATATTTTCTTCATGGAGACACTAGCAGAGATGTAGTTCTCCAAAGGAGCAATCAGGCAGGATTTTACATTTGTTATGTGGCTGAAGGCAAAAACCATATCAGGAAGCACGTGCTCCCTTACTGACAGCAGCCTGTCTTCTGCAGACACGGGAAATGAGGACTTGCTTATGACTTCCCTGTGTATCTAATGCAAATCTCACATATCCATCACTGTGCTCTGGGAATGGGCAGATACAGGGGACAGCTGTTTGCAGAGCAGGTGGCAAGATACGTCTTTGTAGATAACAGAACTGATGTCATCTTGCATGGAAGATTTTGTGCTGCTGTCATCTACTGGTCTCATCACAGCGTGGTCTGAGCTGCACGTGTTGGCACTCTTCATGAAGTGGCTGACAGCAGTATTGGCCCCAGCCCCACCACTGCACTCCTCTCCTTCTTCCCACTCTCTCCCTGTAAGACCTCTGCTTCTCTCCCATTGCTCCCAGCACTGCTCCCTTTGCCTCTCTCCCCACTGGTCAGACTTATTAATTGAATCAAATTCTCCCTTTGCTGACGTGCAGACCATATTTTCCAGCTTTGCCATCACTAATGAAAACCTCCTCGTATCTGGGATGTATATGACATGCCCAGCTGACGTGTGAAATATTTTTCTTCTATTATATGGATTTTTT